CGCGGCAGGGGCGGCGCGCGGGCGGGCGGCAGGGCGGGGCCGGCCGCGGTGGGAGGTGAATGGGCCGAGGGGAGCGGCCGGGCTGGGGGCCTGGGCCTATCCCGGAGAGGCCCAGGGCCGCCCAGGCCCGCCCCGCAGCGGGAGGCCGCAGCCCAGCGGCGGGCCCGCCCCCTTGGCCACCTGGGAAAACTGAGGACGGGGGTGGGGTGGGGGGGAGGGAAGGGACTCGGGTCATTAGGGTTGGAGATCATCTAGTCCATTTTACATTCTAGATCGAGTCTAGATCCAGACCCGTTTTACAGATGGGCAAACTGAGACTCGGAAGGCGGGTGACTTGCTTGGTCACCCAGCACCCAAGGCAGGATTAGAATCCAGGACCCTTGGAAGATGCGCATTCTCTGACGCTTCCCATAGAGCCCTGGGATGGATGAAGCGTGGGAGGCCCAAGCCCTTTCCTACCCCGAGGGGGAAACTGAGTCACGCAGAGCTGGGAAGGGCCCCCAAGTGCTCCTGACCCGGCGCCTCCTCCCAGTGCCTTGGTTGCAGGGCTGGAGTGCAGGGTCCGGCCCAAGCTGTGGGCAGCGGGGGCCCTCGTGGCCAGCCTCTGAAGCCTAAGAAGCCCTGGGCTGGACGGCAGGGGCCGCCAAGGACCTGGGGGGGGGGCTCCGGGCCAGAGAGGGGTCTCGTGGTCAGCTACTAAATTCTCAACCACCCGGATGATTCGAATCCAAGACTCGCGGCTTCCCCCGGCGCTTTCCCTGAGTCCTAAGTAACGCATCCTGCCTCAGTCACCGGCCGTTCGCAGGCCCCGGCTCTGTTCGCAGCTGCGGGTGCGGGGAAGGAGCCCTGGACCCGGCCTCCGGATTCCCGGCTTCTCCCATTCATCATCTGGTCCTGACACCTTTGCCGTCGGCCCCTCGCTGGGCCCGGCTCATGGGCTGCACGGGGTCCGGACCCAGCTGGACCGTCGAACTGGGGGACTTAGTGTTCAGTTTTCATTCTTTAAAAATTCTGAACTTAAACACCAAATAAAAGGAGCATTGCCATATGCATTGTAGAACAGGAGAGGACCGTACTTAAGTCTGTGCATAATACCGTCTCTAAAAAGCTTACTTTGCTATATAATAAATTATATAGAATAAAATTAATTATATCTATATAATAAATTCAGCATGTTTCCTTCAAAGCTGCCTTGCTTGTCAGTGTTTCCTTCTGACCTTGCATGAAGTAATTGACATAAAGTGATGGGTCGACTTGAAAGCCTTACTTATCCCTCTCAAGACATAGAATTTCAAAGGAAACCAACTACATTTAAACACAAGTATCCATTTTTTTTTAAGTTCCTAGACCACAGTGCCTGGCACATAGAAAGTACCTAATGTGTTAACTGTGCTTCATGTGTGTTGACTTTATTTGACCCGGGTTAAAAATCACCATCTACAACTATCTCTACCTTAACCTACCTCTTATGCAAGTGTAATATTTTAATAGCATTTATTAAAAACATTGTACCAAGCACAATTAAAACATGTCCCCTGCCCTAGTGGAATTTAAAACCTTGCAGGTAGTTTGGAAGAGGTCAGAGCACAAAGAATTTTGAATCGGGTCCAAGCGAAAGCTTAGCAGAGGGGGTGATGGTGGAGTTTGCTGGGTCTTGAAAGACAAGGGAGTTTCAGAAGGTAAAGGGGAAAGGATAGCCTTTGTAGGCAGGGTCGGCGTCTCCAGCAGGGGAACCAGAATCCCAAAAGTAGCAGGCCAGTGGAAGGGGTGGGAATAAGCCTGTTTGACTGAAGCCCAACCCAGGTGTGGGAGTGGCAGAGGTGACTTCCTGCATTAGCTCTCTTTTGCATTTGATAGCATGATAGGCTTACAGGGCACTTTCACATATGTCCTCCCTTAGATAGGCAGGCAGGTGTTATCTCTTTATTTGCAGAGATGAGACAAGTCACGTGTGGTTCCATAGCTAGGAAGTAGTGGAGAAGATCTAGACCTGAATCTTCCAATTGCCCTGGTGGGAGTGACTGAATGAATAAAAGAGCCCTTATTAAGCACTTGCTGTGTGCAAAGCGCTGCACTAAGCGCTGAGGATGCAGATGGAAAAGTCAGGGCCTGCTAAACGAGGAGCTCCTGTTCTGATGGAAAGGCCCCTTGCTCCTTAGGGTGCTACAGCAAATCACGTGGTAATTCATTTTCTTCAGTGCCATCTTCACCGATGAAGACATTTCGGTTTCTGCTGTTGAACCATTTGACAGGGCCAAGGACTTTGGTGGTCAGAGCACTTTTTTTCCTGGGTTTTCATTAGCTGTGTCTGGGGCCCCTGCAAGAGCAGCTAGCAGGTGATCTATCTCTGCTCGAGGTCTAGGATGATAGTTTGGGGGATGGAGCAGGGAGCAGGACTGGGGGTCTGGGTGTTGCTGTCACTCCTGGGGCTCCTGGGCTAACCTGCCACCAAGTGGTTTGACTTTCCTATCACGTGCTGCTTCCTATCTATCCTTCAGCTTCACTGCTTCAGCTAGGCTGCCCTGCCTGCCCCATTCACTTAAATCCTCCTGGCCTTCCGAACACTCACCTTTGCAAAGGCTGATGTATGCTCCCTTCTTCTTAGAGCCTTGTTCAAACCTAGCCCTCTGAACCCAGAATCCACCTTACTGACATTCATTTCTTGGATTTGCTAGAGTAAGAGATAAGTCATTTCCCCTTTTTTGTTAAGATAATGGCAATGTTGGCAGATAGCAGGTTGTATTGGCAAGACAAAATTATTCCAAAAGAATTGCATCATGCTATCTCCTCCACTGAGATGGATGTGCCGGTGAATCCAAGCTCTGGAAGTTTCTACCAAGCTGGAAGGGCTTCACGTGTCGTGGGTGATAGGTGTATGTATGCATGTAGATACATAGCTATGTGTGCTATGTACATATGCATGTCCATGTATATACATATATGCATGCGGTATGGATGTATGCATGCATGTGTGTATGTGGTAGGAGGCTCCCCCTGGCTAAGTTCAGAAGAAGTCCTTGGAGAGGAGGCTGGTTGACTCAAACACTCTGCTAAACCCCAGAGAGATCTATGAAAGGGGCAGAATCATTATGAAACTGGAACTTGGCTATCCAGCCCACTTTGATCTTCGGTAGAAGAGAACATGGGGCTAAGAACAGGGGAAGTGGTTACTTGCCCTACAATACTACTCTACCCCATTTGCCAGAAAGTGAGATCATTATTGAAATTGTTCCCTTCTTCCGTCACCAAAGACGTCTGGTTCTGAGAACAGTCTGGAAAGTAGATATGTTAGTGCATTTAATGATGGAGCTAGTAAATTATCACCAAACTATGATCTGCACCCCTAGCTTTTGCTCCCCCCTGCACGTGGCAGATGCTGACCTCGCTACGGAAGGACCAAGCTGGTTATTGTGGTTGGCCATTATGGTTGTCTGAGATGGCTGAGAGTGATCAAGGACTATATTTCCCTGCTTACAAAGTTAAGAATTGAGCTGAAGCCTGAGAAATTATGTGGAACTATCATTTTGCATATAACCTTCAAGGGTCAAAGATGACAGAAAGACCTGAGTTTAAAACTGTAGGGGAAACAAAGGTTGCTGATGTCAGTAAAACATTCCAAGGCTATCGATTGGAAAAGTTATTAGAACTGTTGTAAGCCAATTAAATAAGAGATAGACCTGGCAGAAATCGTCCTACTCCCATGGATGAGTTTAAAATTATAGCCCCACTCCCTGTTGATTTAAAAGCTTTTTTTTTTTTTGGTTCCTTCAAGATGGAGAAACCCTTCTTGAAGAAGTCAAAATATGGTGGAGTTGACCTGCAAGCCTCTAATTTTTCCTGTAAGACTTTTGGAGCAGGAAATCAGAATAGAGTGTGGGTCAAGACAACTTACCACCAGAGACCTGCCTGATTCTTTTTCTTTTGGAGAGGTATGCAAGGGCTGCGCCCTCAGCATCCTAATCCTGCTGTTAGTGTTTTGAGCGTATCTCTTTGTGTATCCATTCTGGGGCATCACCTTCACCTTGCAACCAAGCCTCTCCTCATCCTCTGGACGGCTGCTCCATGTCCAACATGGAGTTGAAGTGACATTAAGAGGGATCCATGGCGATGGAAAACATCACCACCATGAGAGTGGGGAACAATGTCGCCTCCAAGACCTCTGACTTTCCAGCAGAGAGGGACACATGCATTCTTCCTTTCTTAGACGCTTAGGGGAAGGAGAGGAGAGACCACTTTTTCACTTGACTGAAACACAACAGAACCCTACCAGACACAGCCACAATTTCTCAAGGACCACCAAGGGCAGCCAATTAAAAAACTAGGTTGGACTTTGCCAAAAAAATGTATATGAATGGCATGATTATTAGGAGTAGGCAAAAGATTGTTGGGCTTAGACGAGGCTGGGAAGAGATGAGAAACCCAGGCCTCGTCTTCTCGTACATGGGTAGCATCCTCATCCTGCTTCACATTTGCCACCAGAGATCTTGGGACAATTGGAAAAACCTAGTCTTTCTTGGTCTGTTAAGGACATATTTAAAGATGTTCTAATGTTTAATATGATATCAGTGCTAATGTCTACTCCTGAATGATATAAGCATGACATGTTTGGAATCACTATATGGATAGTTTTAATGATTATTGTAATCTTAGTTGTAGGTCATCTTGGATAGAACCAGAATCCAGAGGATGGAATGGCGTGAGAATAAGTGTGTTAACCTGGGACGAGCAACTAACTGCATTTTCGTGTGAGCCTCTATTTTGTGACTGAGTAGTGTATATGTTTGGGTATGTATGTATATGTGTGTGTGTGTGCCTATGTGTCTAAATATACACATATGTATCCATGTGTGTACATGATGAAACTAAGACCCCAAATGAGTGATTGGAGTGCTAAGTTGAATCAAATTAATGTCAATTAATAAATCAATCAACAAGCATTTATTAAACACTTACTCTGTGTCAGAAGCAGGGGATACAAAGAAAAAGAAAAATGGTTCTTGCCCTCAAGGAGATTACTATATATATATGTGCGTGTGTATATGTATATGCATATGTATGTATGTATGTATGCATGCATGTGTGTATATATACATATATATACATATACATATATATACATACACATATACATATCTATATATATATATATGTGGTTCCATCACCTGTAAAGTGAAGGAACTTGATTAGAAGATCTCCAAGGACCCTTTCAAGCATATATGCTTATGGAATGAATGCTGGTTTTGAAGTAGATTCAAATCCCACCTTGGCCACTTACTAGCTGTGTGATTCTGAGACAGCTGTGTGATGGGATCAGAGGGTTTGGAACTAAGGGGAAGCTTAGAAGTCATCTGCTCACCTGTCTTTGTTCCTCTACAGATAAGGAAGCGGAGGCCTGGAGAATGTAAGTGACCTACCCAAGGCTATGTTGCCCACGAGGGGCCAGACAGAGCTTCCTTCCACCGGCACTGCTAGTCTCCGTTTCCCCATTTAACAAACAATACCTACTTCTCAGGCTCCTTACAAAGTTCAAATGAGATGGCATGTGTGTGAGCCCTAGACCAGGCAACTGCTTCATTTGACGCATCATGTTGGCCCTCAAACCTCTTACGAGTGAGTTGGCAAGGAGTATTTGTCAGAATTGTTGTTCTGATTCCTCGGTCCCCAGCAAGACTGTATCTGAATGGGACGGGCCTGGTGATGGACTGTAGGCTTCCAGGGAGGAACCTGACTGACAAACTGAGGTAGGAGCAGCGTCTCAGGAGGGACTGGCACCGAAGACAAATTCTTTTCACTGGGGCTGGGCTTAGCTGTGATGCCTAATCTGAATCAACAGACCTAGCCGCCTTCGTGGGCAGGTAATACTGATTCACGTTTGTTTATTTGTGTATCTGCTTGTGTCCCCATTAGAATGTAAACTCCCTGAAAGAACGGATTGTTCTTCTTCGTGCTTGAAACCCTGGCTCTGGTCCAGTGCCCTGTGCAGGGCAGGCCCTTCATGACATTTGTGGAATGATCCCTTGTTGCTTGGCCATTGACTCAGGCGAGGGAAAAAGGGTTGGAGGATAGATTTGAATGTTTAAGGGGCCTCCCAACCCCCACTCACCATTCCTCAGGCTCACAGGGATTTTAGAAGCCATCCAGCTCAACCTTCTCATCATATACACAAGGAAACTGAGGCCTAGAGAGGTTTGGTGATTTGCCTAAGGTCACACAGAGGGTGCCCCCTCTGCCCTAGGCTGCACTGTGCTTTCTCATATTTATTCTGTGTTGAGCCCAGATGTGCTAGTAAATGCTTGACAACGGCCTCTCAGAGGAAAGATGTACCCAGGACAGACTTGGAAGTTTGATCTGAATTATTCACATTGTTCGCGTCGTAACTTAAGTCTAGACGATCAGCCAAACAACGGAGCAAACGCTGATTTGCGGCATTTGTCGATTTCTGAGGTGTAGATACTTGCACTAGAAACGGAGCAGCCCAGCGAGGCGCCTGCTGCTCCGGCTCCGCCCACTCGGCCCGAGGTGGTTTCCTGATTCAGTGGATCTTGGGCTGGGGGAGGGGCAACCCCTCTTCGATTTTACCTCTGAGCCTCGACCTCCCTGCCAGACTCAGCTCAGAGGACCTCTCCTCCAAGGAGCCTTTCCCAGGCCCACTATTCTCCCTCTCTCTCTCTCTCTCTCTCTGTCTCTCTCTCTCTCCTCTCCTCTCCTCTCCTCTTCTCTTGTCTCTCTCTCTTCTCTTCTCTCCTCTTCTCTTCTCTTCTCTTGTCTCTCTCTCTCTTCTCTTCTCTTGTGTCTCTCTCTTCTCTTGTCTCTCTCTCTCTTGTCTCTCTCTCTTCTCTTGTCTCTCTCTCTTCTCTTCTCTTCTCTTGTCTCTCTCTTCTCTTGTCTCTTCTCTTCTCTTGTCTCTCTCTCTCTCTCTGTCTGTCTCTCTCTCTCTCCTCTCCTCTCCTCTCCTCTTCTCTTGTCTCTCTCTCTTCTCTTCTCTCCTCTTCTCTTCTCTTCTCTTCTCTTCTCTTCTCTTCTCTTCTCTTCTCTTCTCTTCTCTTCTCTTCTCTTCTCTTCTCTTGTCTCTCTCTTCTCTTCTCTTGTCTCTCTCTTCTCTTCTCTTGTCTCTCTCTTCTCTTGTGTCTCTCTCTTCTCTTGTCTCTGTCTTCTCTTCTCTTGTCTCTCTCTTCTCTTGTCTCTCTCTCTCTTTCTCTGTCTCTCTCCTCTTCTCTTCTCTTGTCTCTCTCTTCTCTTCTCTTGTCTCTCTTCTCTTGTCTCTCTCTCTCTTCTCTTCTCTTGTCTCTCTCTCTCTCTCTCTCTCTCTCTCTCTCTCTCTCTCTCTCCCTCCCTCTCTCTCTCTCTCTCTCTCTCTCTCTCTCCCTCCCCATCTCCTTCTTACACAGGCTTATCCTCACACCACCTTATAAGCATCCTGAGGGCAAGAACTATTTTGGGGCCTTGCAGGTAGCACAATGCCTTGCATAGAGAGGACAGTTTATTGAAATGAATTGAGTTTTCCTGTGTTGCTTTTAGTACTGCCCATTAGTATTCCCATTTCTTTCCCGGGCAGAAATCAAAGTGTGTCTACTGGGGACTACTCTGTTCTCAGCATGATGTGGAGAGTCGAAGTCAGAAGAGCAGGGGTGGGGTTGAAGTCCCCACTCTGCTATTTGCTTCCTTGGCTAATTCCCTTCTGTTCCCTCATTTCTTTAACAGAGATAAGAAGACTTGAAATCACTTGCACATCCTTTGTGGAATGGTGGAAATGGGGCTGGATTTGGGGTCAGAGGAGCTGAGTTCAAATTCCAGATTGCTCCTTGCTCTAAAGGACCTTGGGCTAATCACTCATAAAACGATGGAGTTGCACTAAATGACCCTGAAGACTTCTCCAGCTTCAAATCTATAATTCTATGAACTAGATCATTTTGAGGATCAAGGGAGATATTTTATATAAAGGATTGTGTAATGAGAGACCAATCAACATTTATTAAGTGCCTACTATGTTCCAGGTACTGTATTAATGAATACTAGCTATTTTTACCATCATCTTTATGCTGCTATGGAGACAGAGAAGAAGTTATCGGGACCAGGTGTCATACCTCAAGCAGCTTATAACCTAGCTGGGGAGATAAAAGTCTCTGGAGCAGAGGTAACCCTGGGTCAGGAGTTAGGAGAGTGGAGGGTGTGGGCAGAAATCCCATGCTGTATAACTATAGGCTGTCACAGTCTCTCCTCACCTCAGTTTTCTCATCTGCAGAATGGGGATAATAATAGAACATACTTCAAGGTTGCAGTGAAGACCAGAGGAAAGAAAGAGAGAGATTGTCCATAAAGTCCTAGGAAATGCCAGTTAGTATCAGGCTGTACACTAAGGAAGTGGGTGACTAGACCCTCATCCTCTGTGTATTGCTGAGGCAGCTGGTACATTGGGCAAACAGCCTCTGCTCGAGAGGCTGAGTTTGGGAGGACAAAGAGCTTTCAAGGCTACCCATCCAGTCTGACCTCCTGATTTTACAGCTGGGGAAACAGTATCAGATAGAAGGGACGTGCCCCAAGGTACAGGCAGAAGAGTCGAAATTTAAACCCTGGGAGTTGGATTCTGGATCTGATGCTCTTTCTTTAAAAACTTCAACAAACAAGAGAGGTATCTACAAGTTCTATGGGTGGCACACATCTCGATTGAGTCTTTTAACCTCCGTGTCTTCAGCAATTCCTTTAGGCTACATATTGCAGATGAGATGCCCATTGGTGGCGGTGGAAGGAATTTTCATACTGGAATTCTCCTCCCTTACCTCGCCCCACCCCACCCCCCATCACCAATCTAACTGAAAGAACAAAAAACACTTTATTTGGGCACATCAGCATACCTCTGAGTAAGCTGCCTTCCCTAATCTCTTCCTCGGCCCCCTCCTTCCCTCCCCTATGCCACAAAGTAACTTCCAATTAAAAAAAATTGTTACACAAAGTCAGCTAATGTCATGATTTGGTCTCACAGTACACGCAATTTTCCATTTTTGCAATTCACCATTTGTTAACAGAAAAGAAGGACGTGTGCTCTGATTTCAGTAATTTGGAATCAGCCTCGTCCATTGTATTTCACCTGGGTTTTGTTGCCTTTGAATGTCTGCTTTACTTACATTGTTGTAACAATTGCACATTTTGTTCTTTTTTGTTGTCTTTTCACTCTGCAGGAGTTCAGACAAGTCTTCACATGTTGCTCTGAATTCTGATTCATTATGTCAGTGGTCTCCAAACTTTCAATCACACAGCCGTCTAAATAAAAAAATATTGGAGAGCATGCTTCCAGTTTGTGTCTGTTTATTTATAAATTAGATACATGCACTAGTATATTATTATAGTATATGCATCATAAAACACACACAAAATAGAAATTTTTGAAGTATGAAATACATATTTTAAATATTTTTTAATTTTACCTATTAATGGTATAAAAGCATTTTGCTCTCACTAAAAAACTTTGAGAACAATTTGATTCTGCTTCATTTAGAAAATCTTGGTTTAGGACTTTGTGACTCAGGAATTCAAAGGTCTAGTCCTAAGATCAGTTTATTTTCCAATTTGGCTTTGATGGCCATCATACCTAAATAAGTGATCTCACAAGGAGAGTTGGGTCCCAATGGAAGAAGAACATCATTGGTGGTGCTTACTAATTATTCAGTCTTATCCACCGGTTGTGTGAAAGCTTTTGTTGAAATGCTTCTGGTAAATTTCCATCTTCCCTGATGTCAGGGAGGAGAGGGCAGGATCTGGAGACTGGGCGTGGGCTGAGATGAGGCCAGAGTGAGGGGTGCAGGCAGGTCCTAGGGAGACACTATTCCAGGTGAGGAGAAGGGAGGCACGGCACCACAGAGGGCCGAGGTTTCCTGCTAGTGGATGGCTTTTTTCTTTGGCTTCCAATCTGTCCGCTGGGAGAGGAGGATGTCTTGGAAGGAGGGCTGCTGAACTGAGGCCACTGCTGCTCTCTCCCCCCAATCTACTGCAGCTCATCCTGAGCCTCTGGTGTTCCCTTAGGGACGGAGGACGAGAGGATGCCAGGCAGGCCTCGAGGAGACCTAGGAAGTGTGCTTGGTGTTACTGCAGTCCAGGACGTCGGCCTGCCTTCCCAGAAACTCTGGGCAAAGGCAGGAGCGACAGGTGGAAAGGGGGCCTGACTAGCCACTGGCTGCTGTCAATTCTGATATTCTCCTTGTATACTCCCAAGAATAATCTCGGGCACTTCCTGGGCTGCATACACCCCACTCTGGAGGCCATTGCTCCATGGACAATTTCATTACTATTTATTTACCACACGGTCTTCAGCATCCCCCACCCCGGGGCTTGGGATCTGCTTTTGCCTTTGCATTTAGAGAGGCGCTGTATATTTTGTTGCACATCTAACTTCTTCTGTTGGGTCTATAAACCAGTGGGGGATTGCTGGATCTGAGAGTATGGACTGTTAGGAACCTTTCTCACAATTCCAAATTCTTTTCTCAGCTCACCAGAGGTGGATTAGTGTAATACCTCTCTTCCCGAGGCCCCTCCACCAAAGCGAACTTTTTCTGCCCTGTAATATCTTTGCCCATTCAGGGATAAGCTCAGTTTTTTTGAATTTGCTTCTTGGCCAGTGATTTTGAACATTTTTCCATTGGTGGTAGATATTTCTCTGCTGGGGAATTAGCTTCAGCATTCTTTCCACTGAACATTCTATCTCCCTAACTAGCTGTGTGGCAAATCATTTAGACCCTGACCATAGGTTTTAAAAGTCTATAATTCTACAGTTACCTAGTGGGGAAGAGTTTCTAAGTCCAATCAGTCACTCAAAAGCATTTATTAAGCACTTGCTACATGCACTTTGGACACATAGAAAGGCAAGCATAGGCCCTGCCCTCAAGGGGCTTCCATTCTAAGGGGGTAAATAATGAGGTATAGTACAGTCTAAATCCAGACGGCCAGCAGGCAGTCTGAAAGGAAGGTATTAGCAGTGGGGTACGAGGGAGGGGCTGGGAAAGCTCACCTGGAGCACCTGGAATTTGAACTGACCCTAAGAGGAGGTCAGGGAATGAAGAGGCTGAGGAAAAAGGGCAGAACGTTCCAAGAATGGGGAGGCAAATAATTGGGAGACAGAGTGTCATGTGACACACTGTCAAAGTGACCAGTGACACTATACCATGGGATGCATGTGAGGAAGGGTAACATTTGAAAGGTAAGAAGTAGTCAGAAAATGAAGGCCTTTAAATTTTTTTATTTAGTATTTTATTTTTCCCCAATCACATTTTTAACATTCATCTTTAAAACTTTGAGGTCCAAATTCTCACCCTTTCTCCCTTCCCTCCCCACCCCACCCCCTTCATTGAGGAGGCAATTTGATACAGGTTATACATGTGTAGTCATGCAAAACACTTCCATAATAGTCATGTTGTGAAAGAAAACATAGATAAAAATCTCAAGAAAAATAAACAAAGTTAAAAAGCATGCTTCAATCGGTGTTCAGACACCATCAGTTCTTTCTCCGGGGATGGATAACATTTTTCATCATCAGTCCTTCAGAGTTGTCTTGGATCAGTTTACAATATTGCTGTTACTTTGTACACAGTACATTTCATTTTCCCATGCAAGTCTTTCTAGGTTTTTCTGAGAGCATCCTGCTCATCATTTCCCATAGTACAATACATCATAATCACATAGCACAATTTGTTCAGCCATTCCCCAATTGATGGGCATCCCCTCAACTTTGAATGCTTTGCCCCCAGAAACAAATTGCATAAATATTTTTGTACATATAGGTCATTTTCCTTTTTGTTTTTTTTTTATCTCTTTTGGGATGCAGACCCAGTAGTGGTATTGCTAGGTCAAAAGGCACGCATGGTTTTATAGCCCTTTGGGTGTAGTTCCAAATTGCTCTATAGAATGGTTGAATCAGTTCACAACTCCACCAACAGTGCATTAATGTCTCATTTTCCCCACATCCCCTCCAACATTTGTCATTTGCCTTTTCTGTCCTATTAGCCAGTCTAATAGGTGTGAGGTAGTACCTCAGAATTGTTTTAATTTTCATTTCTCCAATCAATAGTGAGTTAGAGTATTTTTTCACATGGCTATAGATAGCTTTGATTGCTTCATCTGAAAACTGATCAAGTCTTTTGATGATTATCAGTTGGGGAATGGCTTTTATTTTTATAAATTTGACTCAGTTATCTATGTTTGAGAAATGAGGCCTTTATAAGAGAAACTTGCTTCAAATTTTTTTTTCACAGTTACTATTGCTAACTGTATTCCCTCCCATCCTATCCTGCCCCCACACCCATTTATTCTATTTTCTCCCTTCTTTTACACTGTCCCTACTCAATAATGTTTTGCTTCTGACTACCCGTTCCTCCAATCTGCCCTCCCTTCTATCACCCCCCCCCCCAATGAAGCCCTTTAAATACCAGAGGGCTTTGTATTTGATCATGAAGGTAATAAGGTACTCTTTGACCAGGGAGTGATGTGCTCAGACCAATGCTCCAGAAAAAAAACATGTGGCAGATACATGGAGTATGGATTGGAGGGAAAAGAGAATTGAGGCAGAGACCTTTTGAAGGGATTGCAGTAATCCAGGTGAGAGGAAAGGCAGGCAAACAATTATTTTGTTTCTTTTTTAAAAAATTTATTTACTTTTAACATTCATTTAAAAAAAATCCATTCCAAATTCTCTCCCTCCACTCATTGAGAAGTCAAGCAATATGATATCAATTATGCTTGTGAAATCATGTAAAGCATATTTCCATATTAGCCATGTTGCACAAAAGCAAGAAAAATACAGAGGCCATTAGCAATGCTTTTGATCTGTGTGACCAGTGGCCGGCTGGAGCGAGCTGGTTAGACTGCTCCATTTTTCAGTGTGAGTGTTTACACCTTGGGCGGAAACTGTCAAATGCCATAAGTCAGGGCTTGAGTTGTTGTTCTGCCCATTGTCTAGACTTAACAAAACGATGGAGAAAAAGCTGATGAAGCAGATAAAACTCAAGAGTGTGTTGTGGGAACAAATTTTTTCTGAGAGCCAGTTCCTAAAACTTTACCATTAAGCTCACCACTCTGTGCTCCTCTCCTCTGGGGTCTGCTGTTCTGATGGGTGAGGCCTTTCTGGCACCAGACAGGCCTTTGTCATGCACACTTCATTTTCTCTTCCCCTCAACACTGCCATTGCCCCTGAAAAACACATGTCCATCCACTCCCTTATGGTCCCATTCACCAACCTGGTAAACATCCACAAGGAGCAGCCCTCCTTGGCCACAGCTCTTCAGTACAGGTTGTCTTCCCCTGCGGGAATGTAAGCTCTTTGGGGAGGGACTGTTTTTGCTTTCTTTTCATATCCCAAACTTAAGCTCAGCTCTTGGAACATAGGAGATTCTTAATAAATGTTTTTTTTCCCATAATTTTATTTATATATATTTTGTATTTAATCTTCTTTATGTATGTGTGTGCTCAATAGAATACAAATTCTCTGAGAATGAGGATCATTGGTTCATTTTTGCCTTTGTATGTGAGAGAAATGATTATTAATAACCAATGATTTGGGGAGATTCAGAGTTCTCCCCCTTTTCTAAAGTCCTCATTGTAAGGCTCAGCCTCTGAAGGACAGGAGTGATGATAGGATGAACATTCTCCTTGAGCACCTTACAACAAAGTAAATCTAAGCTGAAACTCCGGCCCACTGTGTTCTGCTCAGGCCTGGGTCAGGGAGATAGGTCTTTGTCTAGATTTCCCCAAGGCTGGTGGTGATTTGGAAGTAAAGGATGTGTTGGTTGTCCTTTACGTTGGAATTGGCTCACCTATTATTATAATATTCATTCTCTTATTATAATACTCATTCTCTGGTTGTAATATTCATTCTCTCATTAATTGTTAACCAATCAGAGTTGATTACCACCCATAGGAACACCTACTCCTCCACAGGCATATAAACCGTGAGCCTACCACCATGAGTCATCTTTGGTCCAAGAGAGATGGACCATTCATTTTATTGATAATATGCCAACATTGTTAATAAAATGATTACCTAGAAACTCTGTCTCTGGAACTTTTAAAAGTTACATATATCAGTGCCTAGCACACTGCATAGTGGGCATTTAATATACACTTATTGAATGAATGGAGGGAATAAATGAGTGAATGGGTGAATGAGTGAATGGATGAAAGAATGAATGAATGAATGAATGAATGAATGAATGAATGAATGAATGAAAAAGGCTCCAAGCTGTGAAGGCTGGGGTGGGGCAC